CCCCCAATTCAATTCATTTCAACTCAGAAATTGAGTTGAGTTGAGTTGAGTTGGGCATTTTTTGAATTGAGTTGCCCAGCTCTGGTCTGACCACTGCTGCAGAAATATATTTAATCACACTACATTTTCTTCATCACCCCTCTCTCCCATCTCTATCTAAAGCTTTTCCATTCTGTATAAGAAGATGATCATGTGAAATAAAAGACTATAGAGTAGTATTTTCTTTCACCTTATTGTGAATTATTTTCACTTCTTCATATAAATTTTCTAAAACAATTTTTTGAATTCACTCGTCCCGGAATTAATAATATTTCTGGTCAATGTCAACTTTGTGGAAAACTCTATGCGGACAAATTCAAGTCAACGGGAAATTTTCATAAAAGACTTTCATGAGTATTCCCTTGAAACGTCGTGGAAAACTAAATATTATTTTTCATTTTCGCACTATAAATAGTTGTGGAATTTTCAAAGAAAACAAAAATCCGTTAAGTGAAGAGAAAGACATTGTTCCATATTTCAAATAACAGTAACAAACACACGCTTTGGTGCATAAGTACAAAAGTATGCGTCTCGAAGTACAAGTATAAGTACCAAGTACTTTTCTCGAAGTACAAGTACAAGTATCAAGTACTTTCTCGAAGTATAAGTACAAGTATCAAGTACGCCTGAAAAGTACTTGGTACTTGTACTTTTACTTCAAAAAGTACGAAAAGTACAAGTACAAATACTTTCGTCCGAGCTCTGGTGTGAACAGCAGTCAAGACTAGGGTGGGTGTGTGTGAGTGGGTGTGGATGTGGGTGTAGTTGCCAATCTAGATTAAGAAAAGACCAACACCCACCCCTTGTATATCGATGCTATATGTAAGACGGTAGTGTTGACTGTCTAAGTGATGAAACGAATGTTTTTATGTTTGGTTGGTAAAAAAGGACGATTTCGATGCAGTATTTGATAATTCATATGTATTCATGAGTGAAATGATGTTGAAGGGCTTAATTAATTATAATTACTATGAAATTGTAATTAGTCACTGAAAGTAACATTATCAAAAATAATTTTGGAGTATAATTATTTCGATAGTTTAACTAAAATGAAGGATTGAACGTTTTAAGAAAAAAATATAGTTGGGGCTTAATTAATGATAATACATAATTATCATTAGTGGTCATATCAAAGAGAAGATGTTTCTTTGTACATGTATGCCTGACTGTTAGAAGGAAAGAGAACAAAAGGGTGAAAAAAACACGTCTAGAGTTTTGTATACGATGAACTTTGACCGTTCATAAAAACAAAAGGAAAGACAAAAAAATCGAGTTATCTGACTATATGTGTATAAAGTCGGTAAATAGATTGGCTTAAATTCATATATATAAGATGAAAACAAATAGATGACTAAATTGAATCGAACCAGCAAATAGATTGACTCATTTCTTATTATATATGAGACATATAGATCGATGTTATAATGAAAGTAATGTCAATACAATGAATGCTATAAAGAGGGTAATTGTCCTAGGAAAAAACAACGGAATTGGTTTTCATCAAGAAAACATCGAATGAAAATATATCAAAAGTCTTGCAATAAGCATGGGTTCGATGAAGAATATCTTTGCATCTTAATTTGAAGAGATATTTGAATGGTACACATAGAATCGTGTTGTTGTTTGTAGCATATAGAAAATAAAATAGATGTTCAGTGTTAATGTTTGATGGAGAGATATTTTCGATGGGGAAGAACTTAGTTGCTTTATGCAACACACAGCCTTGATAGATTGTGTATAATACTAGTGATATGCACGTAAGTATATATGTAAGTATATGGAACAACGTCACTAGTAGACGATTTAAGGGTGCTGAGTAGTGGACCACTACTCCGACATACACATACAATCTTCGGATTGGAATTATGTATGTTTGCATCTTTTCCACAATCTATCTATTTTATGAGAAGTTTTTCCTCTATTGAATCTCTGTTCATTGGATGACATTGACTACGACANGTCTCTATTGTGTTGTTGTTATGAACTTTTACTCTTGTGTCATATATAACTGCTCAAAATACTAACTTGTTTTTCATGTTATTTTATTAAATGAAAGTTTTTTTGTACTGAGATGTATTCACTTGTTCTTCTTGATTGATTTTCGTCTAGTCTTCTACTTAAAATTTCAAATAGTAATACTGAGCTTGTGCAGAAGAAAATATATAAATGGAATATTAAAGTATATTTTTTATACATATGCACATAGTTGACCTTTTTATATCTTTGTTTTTATTGAATTTTACTGTGGATAAGATAGATAGTGGCAGTCTAGTTAGTTAAAGGTACAGTTCTTCATCATCTGCAGTACTATTAAATGAAAACAAAGAAATAAAAAAGTCAACTATGTGTACATGTATAAAAACAAATTTAATATTCCATGTGGACATTTTCTTCTGAACAAGAGCGGTATTACTATCTGAGGTTCTAAGTGAAAAAGTAAACGCTATAACCATACAGAGGAAACTAATCCATCGAAATATATTTCTTGGCAATAACTATGTTTTTTGTGTCGCTTTGCTAAACTTATTATGTATTATAAGTATTTCTCGTTTTTCTTGTTGATTGTTATACATATGTTATATTCTGCCGTTTGATACTGGATGAAATGATGTATTTTTGTTGAAAAATTTTACTATGATATATTTTTGGTATATCTGATATTGTACTGCCGGTTTTGTGTAGTTTTTCCTACTCTTAATGATGACTTTGCTTGTGATAAAATAAAGATTGTGAAATTGAAACTAATACCAGAATATTTAGGAAAAAACTAGCACGAACCAGAAGAATAGACCAACATGCTATCTACTATCTACTGTGATTCTGAAGTGGCGATTGAGAAAAAGAAACAAAAAGAAAAGTTGTTCTTGATAGCTCAAAAAACGCTGCGTTATGGAATGATCAGATGATTTTAGATGTAACCATCACTTCTGTGATGGTGCTTCATTATTATTCTCACATAAAAATAATTTATTTACTTTGTAAAAGTAAATATAAAACAATTTATTTACTTTACAAAAGTAAATAGTAAATATTTTATTTACTTTACAAAAGTAAATACTAAATTATTTATTTATTTACTTTATAAAAGTAACTAGTAAATAGTCTATTTACCTATTTACTAGTAAAGCAAATATAAAGTACCACCCCTACTAGAGGCACGGAAGAAAAATCAATAGTCATGTTGCCTAAGATGGCTGAAGTAAAAATTCATTCTGATCATTCTGGTCGGATAGAAGAAAAAGACGACAATGTGAACGTTTTTTCTGTTAGTAACTCTTATAGCAAGGTTGAATTACCATTATCGAACCATAATCAGGTAGAATGACTAAAAATTATTATTATTTCTATAGTGTCTTATATTTTTATTTTCAATCTAGAATGCTCGACAGATGCATGAACATAATGAAACTAGTTTGATGGGCAATGTTAAGACGAATTCTATTCTATTAGCATCTTCAAGTCGAAAACAAACTTATCATCAAATACCAAATCTCAAAATGAACAGTACAACAAACAAAAGTTCGATACCCATTGATAAATGGAAAACTTCACGACAACTTATACCAAACTATTTGAAAATGTCTAGTCGTCTCTTCGTGGATTTATTATGTACGAATTTGGCTAGTCATCAGAATAAAATAAAGCATTGGCTAATACATACAAACTAATTACAATGTTTTCGTCGACGTGCTGAATTGCTCAACAACATATTACTTCTCGAAATTGAACAAGATTATTGGGAAACTATTACTTATTCAGTTCCAATCGAAATCATTTGGTTGTCAAACATGCCTAAAGATACAACGAGAATTAATTCTATCAATTGGGCTGATCCACGAACGATAGAAAATTTAAACAAACGTCAAACAATTATTCAAAGTAAATTAAAGAAAATCCAACATCAACTAATGATACATTTAAAACAAGAGTCATTTATTGCTCGGCCTTCGATAAGTAAATCGATTGATCTTTTAAATCTTATCGATACGGCAATCAGAGAATTTGTACATCAAGGTCAACAGCGATTACGCACCATGTATGGAGAACAAAAGCTTATATTTGAATTTGATCACAATGATCTTCGACTCGTTAAATCACTCTATAATTTAAATCCAACCAATGAACAAGTAAGCTTTCCTTTTCTACATTACTAAACACCTATTTTATAATCTTTTCCAGCTCCTCCATGTTCAAAAACTTTGGCGAAGTAAAGTAAAGGCTTGTAAACGAGTCATCCAACAGTGCCATGATAATTCATCGCTTCATAATCAACCAAATACTGAAGTCAATACAGGTAACAAAGACACCTTTTTCTTTTATATGCATTTGCCAATGATTCAAAAATCTTTATTAGATCTCACTACTTGCCTTATACGATCCATCGTCGAAGCACGTCTCATCAATATACAACAACGTATCCATCAAATCATCCAATTCAAGATGAACTCTTTCAAGAAATAATAGTACTTGTTTTTTCCTTCGTCTATCTTCCAGTGTTATTTAGAAAAAAAAAATAAAACTACACGAAAAACTAAGATTGAAATATTTTTCGTTATTATATTTGAATTCTAGGTTTTACTTGATGATCTTCTTTTGTTTTATTATGTAGTCTAAATAAGATTCTTAAGATACCTGATGATTGAACCCTTAAGCAAGGTTCGAAACGCGTCGTATTCTGCTCTGAATCTTATAATTGAGTGAATAACACACCCACACCCACACCCTTTTAACTGAACTACTTTCTTAAAAAAACAATACAAACAAAGAAACGTTGACTGTAAGTAGCCTTTTTTCTTCTGATTTAAAATCAACGTTTCGTCTTGTTTGAAAATTTTCACAGATTGTATTACTTTACTTTCAAAATGGATAGTAATAGTACACAACCAGGAAATATACCATCAGAACCAACACTTAACAACGATGAAAGTGAAACATCTATTGATCAACTAGCATATACAAGAATAGTCAACTTAAGTCAATCATCAACGATACACATGCATACGGGAGACATGATTCCAACTCAAATGGAAACGAATACTAGAAACAGAATTCCAATTCAGCTGCACACAACATCATACTGGCTTATGACTGAGAGACGAGCAAATACAGGAAACAGGATTCCGGGTCAGATACAAACAAATACCACTGAGAAACAAGAAGCAATCTTAAGCCGTAGACTAGAAAGTCGTCGACAATATCGACAAAGACGAGCTCAAATGCGACGAGAACAACGAGCTATTGAACAAGCACAACGACACAATCACGAGCTCAAATCCGACGAGAACAACGAGCTATTTAACAACCACTACGACAACAACGACAACCAAGACAACAACTACAACAACGACTACAACGACAACAACGACAACAACGACAACAACGACTACAACGACAACAACGACAACAACGACAACAACGACAGCAACAACATCAACGACATCAACAACCTAGACAACATCAACGAGGCCGAAGCCAACAAAGAAGACAAGAACGCCGTCAGAGATGGTTGCAACGGCTCGAGCAAGAACAACAACATCTAAATAGGCTACAAACGAATTACCATCCACACGTAGCAATTCCAGGTGACTATGACTACTACAGTGGTGAGGATGACCAAGATAATCTTCTAGAAGCCTATGATCGGGAAACTATGACTTCACAACAACGTTATGATCAACAACAAATCATGGAATTAGAAGGATTCGCAGCATTAGAACAATTGCTACTAATGGCAGAACAGCGTGAACAATCTCAACAAATTCGAGAAACAGAAGAAATCGACGAAGAAAGACAACAACAATTGCAAAGAACTCATGAATCGGACCAGAGAAGACTATTAGACTATGAAGAAAACCAAAATGGTCAAATAAATGAACAGAATGATGATCCTATACAGCAATTTGATCAAATCAATCAGCTAGAACATTATGATAATGAAAGGCAACGAGAGACACTGTCGAACAACGATTCAGATCAACGTCGTCTACACGACTATTTGAAAATTCCAACACCACCATCACCTGTAATGATCTTAAACACACAAAATCTACAACGACATTGGCCACTTTAAAATCAACCATCATGAAAAAAACAACAAAAACTTGAACATCAATAACAACAATGAACTAAACGAATAATTAAAACCAATTTTCCAGTTGCTAGCAGTCCTTCCAGCTAAAATCAAAACAAAAACAAAAGGCATATTCTTCACTAACACTAATACACTAGAAAATATTCATAACTGTAAAAATTTTCAAAACGCTTTTAATACAAACATTCATATGACGCATATAATCGAGTAACTTAAGAAAGGTCGAAATTCGGATCGTGGTGATAATTTCTTTCAAAATAATACTCACCCTATTATAATTGAAGAAATCTCCTCTTTGCTTTTGATATTAAAAGTGTGAGGAAATTTTCTTTTCAAATTTTTCCTTTTAATTTAATATTTTATGCAGTGTGGAAATTCTGATCGTGGTGATAATTTCTTTCAAAATAATACTCACCCTATTATAATTGAAGAAATCTCCTCTTTGCTTTTGATATTAAAAGTGTGAGGAAATTTTCTTTTGAAATTTTTCCTTTTAATTTAATATTTTATGCAGTGCTAAAACTACCTGATGATAGACCCTTGAGAAAGGTTGAAATTCGGATCGTGGTGATAATTTCTTTCAAAATAATACACACCCACACCCACACCCAGGTGCGTATTACCAATAGTTCTTATCTCGACGAGTTAGGTAGTAAAAGTGCAGTTATCTCGGGGTGTTCATAGTGACGTAGTTAGACAGATTATTTGAACTGGTAGTGGCGTTGGAATAGCGATGGAGGGTAATTAAATGGATGATCTGAACTGAAAGAATCCATGCCACGATGCTGACTGATAATTTGTAGGAATATACGGCCGTCCGTACCGTTCGGATGGGTTGGCATGATAGTTACTGTTATTAACGACGTTTGAATTTACTGGGTGAATGGCCTAGGTGGCCTTTGTCTGGTCCGCTGTCTCTCTGTTCGAGTCCGGTGAAAAACGGCGGAATCTGGATGGAAACTCAGCGTTTCCAGGCTTAATCGGCAAGGGGATTCGATCGAATTCGACAGTTTTCGGTGATTGTTCCCGACCGGAAGTTGTCGGTTCCTATTCCGGCGAAATCCGGACCGGGTTTCGGGAGCAAAGATTCTGGTGAAAACCCTGTCGGATCCTGCCAGATTTGCATGGGTAACCTGCCGGTTTCTGGCACGATCCGATATCGGTTCCGATGAGTTCCCGCAGGATCTGCCTGCAGATTTGAGTGACCTGGGATATACATATATAAAAAAATCCAAGTGTATTTCGACCATGATAAATCTATGTTTGAATTTAAAAATATACATTTGTAAACATAAACATAGCTGGATATTTTCTAGAACTGGAAACGGTTTTTCGATTACATTATAGGGAAACATACGCAATAACAAATCATATCTTGTTTATATTACAATAAAGCTCATATGAATTAATAACAGGTGCTTCCTTTCCTCTGTATGATTCACCTGGCATCGATTGGTCATGAAGGACTTGATGATAGAAAACTTGTTTCAGAGCTCTACCTATTTGTGCTATTATTGACAAGAGCTAACATTAAAATATGCTATAATTCAAAAAGTCTCACGTTTAAATCGTTGCATCCTAAAAGCTGAATCATCTTAATATTTTCTCCCTGATGATGATGAAAAAATAAGAGTGATTCAATATGGCAGACTTGGATGGCATCTTCCAGAGAATATTAATTGTGAGTCCTTGAGTGCTGATAATTTCGTTGAATTAAAGAACTACCATGATCCTCAGAAGTTCCGATATTTCAATAGCACGGTAGGACGTGGAGAAATACTTCGAACTCCACATAGACTTTTAATTTCTCACTAATCTTACGGTAGCTACAAAATCAAAGGAAAACCTTGAATTAAAAGTAATTTTAAATATTTCAGCATATCTATACCAAACTTCTGTAGAACTTGAAACGGTTGAGTAGTTTGACTACTTTTGCGTAGTGTAGGACGGTTTTATCGAAGAAGTGATCTACATAAAGGATAGATCACATAGAGTTCTACTCAAGAAATACTCAAAGTCTTGCTAAAGATTTCCTACGTTAATCAAATGCTCTCTATCTTTGGATAGAAGCCTTAAAATTATTTACATTTTCACCTACAACATTTGAAAATGTAAAAAGAATCTTATAAAACTTTTGCCACTAGTTTGATTCATTCTAGGAATAAGCAAAGTAAGTGATGTTCTTATCAAAGATATAAAATGCAGTTATACCGTTCTTCTTAAGATTAATAAGACATATTGAATCCAATTTTTTCAACATTCTGTTTGTGTGATATCTTCGAAAACACTAAGTTTGATAAATTAGCATATCTATAGTGTATGTTCATATAAAGTATTTATTAAGAATATTAAAATAGGAAAAAATTGTGATTAAATATAATAAAAAGTTCTACAAGACGCAAAGAATCGCACTCGCGACAGTATGATGAAGCAAGAAAAAAGTTAAATGAAAACATGAAAAACTAATTAGTAATATTATGTTAGCTTTCTATTTCAGACCAAACACATTTCATCGGAAAAATATTTAGCGTTGTGAGAAAGTACTCTCTAATCTTGGCTAGAGTTAGTATTACATACAACTTTTTATTGAAAAAATAAAATAAAATCTTCTGTTAGATTAAACTGTGCTCATAAGATCAAAAATTTAGGAAAATAAGTCGTGCGGAAAGTATATAAGTATTCGTAGTCACTTGGTACAGTGCTATGCCTAACTTGAATGTGTTCATGTTCTTTGTTCACTTAATTGTCAATGTCTAATACAATATCATATCATTGATCACACACTGTATAAATAGCCACAGCAATATTCATGTTCAATTTTACTATGTACTTTGCAGTCAGCCATAGCAAGCACTATGTGAATACAAATCACCTAGGGAGTGTATGTTTTTCACAAATATTTTGTTCAAGTTATATTCAGCACTTCAAAATAAAATAAAACTTTGTTATCTAATTAGCGATTATGCGATAAAAGAACAACAAAAACAATAATAATTCTATTCAAGTATCTCAATCATACGGAATCAAAGATTAAGTCATATTTGAATAGAACATGCAGTATCGAAGGAGAACATTTTTGATAAAATATGTATTCAAAAACTTTCTCAGACAACGAACATGCATCTATCATTCATCTGTCGAATAAAAAATATGCCAATAGCGACTACTTTCAACTACGAATTTCTTCAACTATGTAGCTAGTCGAGAATACAATTTCAAATTCTATCAAACAGTGTTAGAAAGCAAAGTTAACGAATAATTTTAAGTACCACCATAAATTTATTCATGTATACAGAAAAGTTTGAAGTGAAGCAAACCTTTGAGTCATTTGGTTGAATATCACTCTAAAAATGAATCATATTGAATGGTAATGTTTTGTTCAATTGAACAACTTTTATTGTATCAAAACCCTCAAGAACCGACTGAAATAAAGATCTACACGAATGCTAAATAGCAATCACAATAGATTTATTCAATTCCATGCAGATCTAAGTCAAAAGTTTATCACAAAAATTGTGCCGAAGAATCACAAGACGGGAGAATCACTCTAAGTAAAAGTTTACTCAAGTATTTTACTCAATGGTAATCAATTTGAATAAAACACCAAAGTGAACACCGTATCAAATAAGAATTTTTCTAAGGAAGATTATGTTCAGTAATTTTACTCTAAATTTATCTCTGCCACTTTCAGATGAAATCCACCAGCACATGATATACGAATCATCTTTAGCAAAATTACGTCCCATTATTTCATTCTGAAGCAACTAATGATACAAAAAAATATATCAACACTAAAGGGCATGGAATGCGAATTATCCCAATAATATCGCAATTCAATTACTTTACTGTCTAGCGATCGGCCATAGTAGTAGACAAAATTGAAAAGCCCATAAAATTGAAATAGTCCTAATTAAGGTGTCCATCTATATTACTCCCAAGTAAACATTGAGAGTAAAACTAATGATTGAAGATTGCATAGTTGATGATTAATTTCAAGTAAAATACTGTTCTAATAAATCTAATAATTCAACCAAGAGTTAGTTCGATTTAAATCAAACATGATGCTTGAGATGTTGAATTGAACGCACAGTGATTAAATTCATATAGTTCATTCGCTAGCACNTCCTTCACGAACATTAATAGTCTGATGATGATGATGATTTGCATGATTTTGAGTTGGAACCGTAGCTTGTCTTCATTGTGCAACCTACAAAATGATAATCATAGTTAAAATAGAAGTCTCTAAGCAATAGCCATGTAGATATTACCGGTGGTTGAAAAGCACGAGTATTTTGCAACAAGATAGGATTACTCGTAAGAATCATGATAAATTGCTGTTGAGGTGCACTTGCTGATCGAACAATTTGCGCATTTACACGATTTTGCGTACTTCTCGATGGACGTATACTTGATGGTCGAGCATTAGTTGAAGGCATTAATGAAAAGATTCGATAGTCTAGAATATATGTCTATACACTGAGAGATGACAGCAAATGAAAAATTCTATGGAAGTACGACTCATTTTTGTATTCTCAATTCAATTCATGTTTACTTTGATTTTTATCAGAAGATAAATTGATGCATAGGACAAAAATAGATCTATGGTTTTGATTCTTCTCTTTGTTCTTATAGAATCTCGAATGAGATTAATAGAAACTTTGTTTATTTTTTTATATAGTACATGTTTCAAACTATATCAGTAGGTTTCTTAATTGAAATAGTAACACTAAAGCTTATTTCATGGCAATGTTCAAGACTCCAACGAATGTTAGCATCATATGCATATCGACGACCAGGACGCTTCATAAAGTCATTGATTACATTTTTGAATCGCTCGATCAATCCATCTTCAACTAATATTTCATGTTGTGTCCATGATGGCTGCGGTGAAGCATTATTTACCATAACAGATCTTCCTATTGGATTATGATCACTACTGATATGAAAATACTGTAATCGATTAGCTAATTGTGCAGCTTGTATTGCTGTTCGATGTTGTTCCATGTATGGAATTACATTCTGATTCGTATCAGTCCATACCGATTCAAGATACCGTAGTTAATTATAAGGACGACGATAAACTCTTGGCTGCGATGAAGGTGACGATATTATTTGTTGACCGTCATTTGTTGATGATGAAACTGGTGGTAACACTGGTGTTGGTGTTGGTGTTGATGCCATACCGATTGAAATATAGAGAATATCTAAAACGACATATAGAAGAACGAATGTTTTACATTCTCAATAAAGCTTTATTCCGTTTCATTTGTAAGTAAATATCGGGTGTCCCAGAATAAATTAGACTGTTTGTTTTTTAAGTATTTTACTCCTATTCTTCGATGAATCGAGACGTCTTTCTTTCAGAAAAGATAGAGGATTAAATTCTCTACAAATCCATATATTATTCAAATTAAAAGTTATTTTAATTCATTATGAAAAATCATGAAGAGTAAAGATATGCAAAAAGTGGTAAAAACTAAATTTGAAAATGGTGATGGTCCAACAAAAATCTATCGTGATCTCACCGGAGTCGTTTCATTGCAAACGATTAAATTATGGATTAAAAAGGTTCGCAACACAGGTTCTATCGAGTTATCTTCACCACCAGGTCGTCCACGCACCGCTCGTACAAAAGCTAACATCTTGAAAGCAAAGCAGTGCCTAGATCAGAAACGTGTATCAATAAGAAGATTAGCTGCTGAAATGAATATTTCAAAAAGCAGTATTCATCGAATTTTACGTAAAGATCTAGGTTGTTTTCCATACAAGAAAATTAAACAGCCCAAATTAACAGATGTTCAAAAAAAAGAAACGATTTAAATTTGCAAATTGGGTTCTGAACAATTACACCAAAAGTGATATCACAAGGTGGTTATTTTCGGACGAAAAGTATTTCGATCTGAATCCCAGGTCGAGCGTTCCGGCCACAGGATACTGCAGGAACCCGCAGGAAAGACGCAGGAAAGTCACCGTATCCTGCGGGAAAACACCGGAAATCACCGGAACATAGAAGCAGTATTCCGGCCAGAAATTTTCGGATTTTTCCCCGATGATTCCCGGCCGGTTCCTACAGGAAAGAACAGGAATTGACTGGAATCTACCGGAAAAGAATCCACAAATTTCCGGCCGGAATACTGCTTCCACGATCCGGTGATTTCCCGTGTTTTTCTGCCGTTTCCTGTCGTACCGCTTTCACCTGGGATGGCGTATACAATAATCAAAACGACCAGATTTGGGCTATAAGCAGGGAAGAGGCTGACAAAAGAGGGGCTATTTGTGAAACAACTAAATTTCCGGTGAAAGTTATGGTGTGGCTAGGTGTATGTAGTGAAGGATTGTCGGTGCCGGTGATTTTTGAAGATGGATCAATGGATGCTCAACGATATATCGATGAAGTTCTTCCAATAGCTCTAGAATGTGGCAGCGAAATGTTAGGAGAACATTGGATGTATCAACAAGATGGTGCAAGACCTCACACACATTATCTCAGTCAAAAAGGGTGCATCGATCATTTTCCTTCGTTTATTTCCAAAGATCGATGGCCTCCTAATTCGCCGGATTTGTGTCCATTTGACTACAGTTTATGGAATGAATTGGCTAAATTAATGAACTGGAAGAAAATAACAACAAAAGAATTATTGGTGCAAGAAATAAAACATTCCGTCAAGGAAATTGAAAAAGAAAAAATTTAAAATTCTGTGAATGATTTTACTAAACGATTACGCATAATTAAAGAAACTGGAGGAGAATATGTTCGTTAAATAAAATATAGCATCTTGTGCAGAATTTCAACCGCTATCTTTCTATAACAAGAGATTTCATACTTCATTGAAAAATAGAAGTAAAATGGTGTTTCTATAAAGAGTCTAATTTATTCTGGGACACCCGATATAAACCCTTTATATATTGTATATTTTCACTTGACAAGGTAATAGTTTAAATCCAAAACTTTATTCGCATTCAACTGACAAGGTGTTAATCCTAAAATGAGATCTGAATTCAAAATTTGACTAAAAAATAATAAATTTGATGGTTCGAAAATTCAGAATACCGTGTCGACATTGGTGTCCCCACTAGCGAGATCTATTGATTATTTTTAAGTTGTCTATTATGTTTAACGATGTTGCATCCACACTGTTATTGCAATAAATAAATTTCTACTTTTACGGAAGTTGAGTATGAATACGCTTTGATAAGACATCAAATGAGTTAGAAATTAAAAATTTAGAAATCAATATACTTTGGAATATTTTCTGTTCAAATCAATTAAGAAATATCTATTATCCGAATGTTCAACGCAAAATTTTCTGAGAAGTAGAGAGCATAAAAGACTATAGAATAAAGAGAGAGAAAAAGTCTCGAAGCAGAATTCTCTCATGATTTTTTGCATGTGCAATAAAGGCGTATGCCACTTAAAGAAAGCAGTAACATATTAGCCATCTTCTCCTTGATGAAATTCTAGTTTGCTTAAGAGGAAACAGTGACAAAAAAAATTGCTCAGTTAGACAGAACTGAATTGATTAGTATGCAATAGGATCTAGATTTTTTAGTCTAGAAACTAAAAGAAACGATTGAAAAAGTCGTCCCCGTGCAAGCATGAAAAATTGAATTCAAATCAGCACGGACAAAAAAACTAAAACAGATTATATGAAAAATCTGAAAAGAGAAAGCTGATGATGTTTCAAATTTGAAAAATCAAAAAAAAATCATGAAGAATTCTATTGACAATTGAGCAAAAAACATTAACCAAAGGAACAAATGAAATGAATGCCCATTCTGAAGATCCTTAGTGACCAGTCCGCGATACTATTTGTTTGAACGCTCGATTATATATATAGAAACATATCCATAATTGAACAGTTACAGCTATTGCGGTCTATTTAGTCAAAATTCAACGAGATAAATGTTGTCGGAAGTGACTAACCTCTTTGCAAACTTATCAAAGAAAAACTTATATTGATTTGACTCAGAAATAAATTGTGGAATGTATTTTAGGATCGTTATTTTTAATAGAATTCCAGAATTTTTCGCACTGTTCGTTAAGATAACTTTCGACCAGTTCATTCTGATTGAGAATGTTTCTACGAATGAAACAAAAGCTTGGATGAATAGGTTGAAAGACATCAACACTTAATGCAGATCGACTGCAAAGCCAAGAAGTTATTGAAGTCGGGCGGACTTTGGATTGACTCAAGAGCTAGGATAAACACAAGTACAGCAAGCAATTGTTTTTACTTGTGCTTTAAAAAATGTACTTGTACTTATTGCGGTAAAAGTGCTTGGTAGTCATATTTACTTATACTCAAAAAGTACGAAAAGCACATCTACAAATACTTTTGTTCGAGCTCTGATTGGCACTGGGCTCTGTTATTATTTATCAGAAAAAGGCTGAGTCTGAGCTCTATTTTGCCTAAGATTATCTATAACTTAAAAAAAAAAGGTTTTGCAGTTTGTTGAATCAGAAAGGAGTCTTTCCCCTCATACACGAGAAGAACCATTGTCTCTGAACCTATGTTAGGCATCGTAGACAAAAATATGGTCTTTTTTTTTACAATAGAATTTCTACGAAACTAGATTTTTGTTCACAGAGCCTAAAATAGTTCCGAAATAGAGGCTCTTCTCGTTTATCCGAGAGAAGATCCTTTTCTTTTGGTTTGCCAGATTGCTAAATCATTTCTTTAGTGTATACTCTGCTTAGGAAGCTCAAGAAGAAACTTTACTATTTTTCGGTACTTTATATATTGGAAAAAAGTGATATGGATGTGCATGTCATTGATGATACATAAACTCTAGCATATAAGCTATTTAATTGACTCATACATCGTGTCTTACATTTTGGACAGTTTTCAATTAGTCAATGCACTGAGAAGGTACGAACCCAAGTTTCAATGAAATATAGTAATATTTATTTGTAGAGTCAACTAGCTCCGTTTCAATAGCTGACAATTAGATCTGAATGCAATATACCATTTTGATACACGCCCGGTCTGCACAAAATAATATGACAGATTATGAAAGATTTGACGAGATTTTTCTACTAACCTATAAGTGAAAAAAGTACGCATAGAAACTCAGGAACTTCGACAGATGCAGTTCATTTAAGGATTTTCTAATATGAAACTATGAGTAACAGAATAATAAAGCAAGTTTTTCGACATATTTCAGGGGCTAATAAGTTTTTCACGGAAGGTAAAGCCGATATTCAAAATATTAAAACAAAACAGGTTTGGTTTGGTGAATTCTGTAGTAAAATATATGTCTGGCATGTATCTCCATGAGTTCGTTAACGAAGCTCAGCGATCCTGAAAATATCACAAGAATCATTTACTGAGATTCGCAACCGAAGTAATGAAAGCTTCTATATGAAAAATGAGCTGCCTTTTCTTCAAGAAGAATCGCAAATGTCTTACCCATAAGAAATATCTACAATTTATCAGGACATACTTTGAGAATGATTACGGGCATCATTCATCAAGAACGTCTCTAACTCCTTAAAGTTTGCGTTTCGAAACAGTTCGATGTATGTATGTTACGTCCTGTCTTTCTCAATTGTACCAACATTTTTCAAATATGAATAACATACCTTTGTAAAAATATTGTAAGGATATACTACGAAGAAATGATACTGTCTTTGATTTGACAAATATCACCAATACAAAAACATGCTTCTATAGAAAGATTATCGTTTACTTAATATCTTTGCTTACCATCAACACTGTATATACGGTATATAAGTAATGATCATCGCCTTTTTGAATCTCTTGAGCCTAAATAAAGCGATTAATAAGCATGTGATGAATATAGTTGTAATTATATTCATGAAAATCACATTGCCACTAGTTACGCATTAATTAAATTTAATAAGTCAATTCAAATTAGGCATTATGTTCCTTATAACTACTTTAATCAGCCTTAATTACAGCAACTTTATGTGAAAAGATGCCTTAACTTTTACCCAATTGTATTTCTTCGAAATCCTGGTCAACAGAATCGGGCACCGTACGAGGTCAGCATTTTTTTAATACACAACATTAGTTCATGGGCTAGAGTGATGAGAAAATATCGGGTGTCCCAGAATAAATTAGACTGTTTGTTTTTTAAGTATTTTACTCCTATTCTTCGATGAATCGGGACATCTTTCTTTAAGAAAAGATAGAGGATTAAATTCTCTACAAATCCATATATTATTCAAATTAAAAGTTATTTTAATTCATTATGAAAAATCATGAAGAGTAAAGATATGCAAAAAGTTGTAAAAACTAAATTTGAAAATGGTGATGGTCCAACAAAAATCTATCGTGATCTCGCCGGAGTCGTTTCATTGNATACTGTTCTAATAAATCTAATAATTCAACCAAGAGTTAGTTCGATTTAAATCAAACATGATGCTTGAGATGTTGAATTGAACGCACAGTGATTAAATTCATATAGTTCATTCGCTAGCACTCAGAACGTACTATCTTTTGGCTTATTTATAATTACATAGAAAGAAAATATTTACACCGGTAGCGCTCAAAATAAAATGATTATATATATAATTCACTTTAAAATGAACTGAAATGCTGAATTGTACAATTGACGATTAGATGAGTAGTGAATTTTTCCAAGAATGAATCCATACAGCTATTCTTCAATCTTATTGGAAGAATCTCTTGGTTCTGGATGACCAGGTATTATATTGTAAATATGTCACACCTAAGAGGATACTGTTCGATTACTTCACTCAATTTCAGAAAGAGCTGAAATGTATAACGCGTGCCATAATGAGTATGGAATATGAACCATCATCAACATGAGGCTGTCCACATGTCTAGTTAGTTTTAGATTCAATTTCGAACTTAACTGGAATGATGTTATGCAACAAGATAACTAAATAAAGTCAACCATTGCTCTCCTTGAGTATATCGTTTACTTCGAGGCGAATAACCGGAGTTTGTCTTATTAATAGAAATCACTCGACAAATGAATCCATCAAACCAGGGTCGCGTCGAATTATATTCTTCGTTTTAGATTGAATTTAATCACTCCTTTACATCACCAAGCAGCTCTTGATAAATGAATTATTGTGACTAGGATTTCATTCAAGTATATGACTCACATCGTAGCAAAATGTGTCACTTCCTCATCTAATCCAATATTTCTTGATAAATAAACTGTTCAAATCATTATTTCATTCCATTATATCATACAGTTCTTAAGTAAGTGTATCATTGGATTACATCGCCAAACATCTCTTGATAAATCAATGGTTACAACCAGAATTTCATTCAACTATTATCACGTAATTCCTAGAGAAATACATCACAGTCACATCATCAAAGATAACTTGAAAAATATACTAGTCTTATGAGGATTTCGTTCCATTATAGCACTAAATTAGAAGTAAAGTGTGACATTCGATCAAAGCAGCAAAAATATCTTGAAATATAAACTATTTCAAAGATTACTGAATTCCATTATAGCGCTCACTGGAAAGTGAAGTGTGTCACTCGATGACATCATCAAAGATTTCTTGAAAAATAAATTATTCTAAGAATAGCTTCATTAAAGTATAACGTCAACCAATGGCAAGTATTCACTTGCAATTTAGTGTTTCAGGGTACCTGAAAGATGATTAGATGAAACAAATATTTCATTCCAATATATGCCTTTCAACTGAGTTGACAAACGCTGAACGCTTCCGTAAGAGCTA